CGGTGGCTGTCCAAAAGCAAAAGATAGATTTGAAAACCTTCCTTCAATTCCTTCAAGCACCAAATGTCGGTAAGAGAGGCCCACACAAAAAATAAAGAAAGAAATAAATAAGCCATGGAGAGAATGTGTATGGGTTGGGTGGGCTCCCTCCTTCCCATGGGTTTCCAATAAAATTTCCTGAAGTGTATGTGCATAAATTGACAAGACACGTTTCAGTGCGAACGCACAATCGATTTCCGACGTTTCCAATACCAAAATGAGAGGTCTGTGCTCCTTGTCGCTGCGCTTCTATTAATAGGAAAGAGTGAGGCCACCAAACAACCCCTCATTGCCCAGGAGGCAGGCCCACGAGAGAGTGGAATAGAGTCGACGCAAAGTAACTTATAAATGCGGCACCCTTCCCATGACAGCATTCGCCTGGATGCCGTGTGGGAGATGTGTGTTCTTACCAAAAATGGCCTCGAGACGGAAAGAGGGCACGCAAAAAAAAAAAAAAAGGTCAAAATTGATGTGCCCAGTACCATCAAAGATAAACAGAGAAGTATCCCCCCACAAAGTGGATTGATGGCCAGTAAGCATTTCCGTTGCTCAAAATACAAATAAACAAATAAAATGGGAAATAGCTAGGTCTCCTATTATGGCTGCATGCAACAAACAGGTTTCGAGATCCTTCCAACACCATTATTGTCACAACGCGTCCCAAAATCTTTTGGAAACCCCGCCATCGCAAAAAAAGAAAATACGAGCCAAGGCCAGTGTGATGCGGATGCGAGGAAGATTCCGCTTCTCACTTTCATTTTCCGTCTCGGTGCGCAGCAAATTCACAGATCCAGTTCAAACACACAAAGTACAGGGAAATTGAGTAGCGATGCAGACCCTCCAATGCAATGTCGCAAAAAAAAAAAGTAAGAAAATTGCAGTCAATCAAACACGGCCCGCAGACAAAAACCGTTCCGGGATCAAACACCGAACCCCTTTGAAGATCATTCAGAAGAGTCGATCGAAAAAATCAATATAGCCGACTTCTCCGCCAGCCACTCAAACGCATTAGAAGCGTTAACTGTAGGCACCCTCACAATAAGTATTGCGTGTCCCTCGCGTCCATAATGCAGAGGCCGTTCACCTCTCCTGAATCGTTTTTTATTGTTTGTGTTTTCTTTAAAAGATTCAGTGGCCCGCACGCTGTACCGTGCCCCAGCACGACGCCGCTGGCCCGGGTGCTGATTGATTCCGTCAGCGCTGCCCCAACAACAAACCTGCCGTGAGGGAAACGTAGCTTTTTCTCAGCTTTCCTCCGGCAATACGGGGCAATTGACCGCCGCCGCACGAGGAGGCAGTTAACCACACAATCACCGGGGTTCCGTTATGTCCCTTCAAGTAAATCCGTGCCGGAGAGAATCACCATGGATTGCTCGGCTATCCCTTACCGTATTCTCCAGCCATTCCTTCCATCCCCAAATAAAACCCAAAATTAAACAGACAACAACAATATATATATATATATATATATATATATAATTACCGCAAAGCTCAGCACACATGTAAAAGCATCGGAAAACAGCATTCACACAACCACACCAACGCGCCACTCTCCACCCCGTCTATTAAAAACATTTATAATTATCCAATTAAGTTTCAAAGATGTACAAAAGAAGTGTTCAAGGAGTTAATCACTACAAAATTAACCAAAAAATTATTTTAAAATTCTTAAATTAAAAAACGTTTTCAATGATAAAGTAAAAGAAAAAAAAAGGAGAAAAAAGAGGTACAAAACCAAAATAAATAGAAGAATGGGGAAATAATAAAAAAAAAAAAAAAGGATTTTTACTAAAGAATGGGAAACCAATAATAAAAAAGGATTTTTACTATCGGGTGCTGCGCGCCAACCCCATCGGACGACACCTGCGATGGAGAGCGCGGTTTTCGCAGTGTCGTCAGCAGCAACGCAGTCCTGCACCCTCGTTTTGCGTTTTATTTTGCCGTAAGATATATTGGTCTCACGTCTCACACGGTGCCACACGACACACTCACGCGGCTTGACGGTTGCCAGGGGTGGCAACCTCAATCGGCGACTGCCGTTCTGGAAGCGCGGACTCTTCGTTGGCGTCTCCGTGGTTCTGAGGAGTGCTCTCCTCCCACGGGTACAAGAAGAACACCTGCAGAACGAAGCAGACAAGACCAATGCAGCCAAAAAAGATGAACGCGACTGCCTGACCCTTGTCCTGGTTGCCAGACGGGCCGCCAGAGATGCCCTCCGTCGCGATCGGGTAGCAGACGTTGATGATAACATTAAAGATGAAATTCGTCAGGAGCACGAAGGACGCACCCCTCGGACGGAAAGAGCGTGGGAACAGTTCCTGGGCAAGCACAAAGAAGCACGGTCCAAGGCCAATCTCAAACGCGGCGATGAATATGGCAATTCCAGTGATCGCAACGCCATTCTTCACGTTCTTATCGGCAACGCCGGGGTACACAGGGACCCCGCACAAGAGCAGACACGAGACCGACGCCACAAGCGAGGCACCAAGAAACAGCTGGCGCATCGTGAGGACCCGGGCAAGTGGAATCGAGACGAGAGTTGTCACAAAGTTCCACGCCATCACCACGAAGTTGCCCACAAGAGGCACCATCCCCAAGTTGCCCATAATCTTTGGCGCGTAATTCATCACGGCATTGATGCCAGTCAGTTGCAGCGTCCCGGAAGTCACTAGTCCCATCGCCAAAGGTCCAAGCATCTGCAAGTAGCTGTACTCGTTCGGGTCCAGCGCAGTGCCATCGTCCTCGTGCTTGCCGCTCGTAAACTTCGTCTTGCTCTCGCCCAAGAAGATACCAAGCGCGACCATGAGCACCGACAACAGCGTAGAAAAGGCACAGTAGCCCTGCATGCGGGCATCCATTTTGGTGTCCTTGTCAAAGTTGACGCTTTGCCCAATAGCCAACCCCATCGCTGCAGCAAACATAATGCCAAACGTGGTGAACACCTGAAACAGAACACCGTCCACGTGAAGGAACTTCGGGTGGGCGTTCTGGTCGACATACATGGGGCATGCAACGTTCACAAGACCGAGTACAACACCTATCAGTAGACGACCAACGCACAGCACCCAAAACTCATTCGTTGCCGAGGACACATGGTACATCACGGATGACACAACGCCAACGATGCCGACGATCAGGAACGACACCTTGTGACCAAACCTCGCGGCAAACTGCCCGGCATAGATCGACCCAATCATTGCGCCAACAATCATCGCACCAGCAAAGATGCCGTTATAGGACGAGCTGTACCCAGTCGGATTCTTGCACTCTTCGTCGCTGTACACCCACTTGCACCTGCTATCATCCAAACATGGCGTCTTATCCTTACCGTGCCCCCAAAAGCAGGTAAAGCCGTTCCAGCCGCATTCCCCACGTGTTCCGTTCCAAGAACACTCCGCGTTCAATACCCTGTTGCAAGCCACCTCCTTCTTGTACATCGAGCAGTCCGTGGACATCAGGTAGAAATAAGCATACACGGCAACAAAGCCAATTGAGAATCCGTTCAGTGTTCCACCAACCACCTGCACTTGTGCAACCTTCAGGTTCTCCAACGAGCAAAATGTGGGAGTCTCGTCGGGCTGCCTGTCCCCACCACTCACATCAGTCTGCTTCTTGGATGGCATCTCTTTGTGTGTATTTTCGCTTGTGTAGCCTTACTTATCAGCCTAGAGGTTTTCGACCACCGCCGCAAAAAAACAATAATAATGGTAATAGAAACAATAATAGTAATAATGATAACGGTAAAATAGGAGCGCGGCAGGCATGAAGACGGCATAACAACGACTTTCGCGAAGGCAAAACAAGAGAAGCATGACAGAAATGCTTCTTTGAGAACATTCATGACGTCTCTGCTACACCCGCATCACCCTTTCATCGCATTTAGCGGATCCAGTAGGACACAACAAGCCGTCACGTGCTAATAGGAACCCGTACAAAACAAAAACAGTAGTTTCTCTTCAATGACAAGCAGAATCGGTGATAATCACCTCTTATTATGACAGCGGAGCCCAACACATAGAATCACTTTTTCCTCTATTTTATAGTGGCCCACGTCATCCATCACAGTAGGAGGGGCGATGCATGATATCAATGCTGTTGGGAGCAAATAGTACAAGAAAAAAAGATTTCCCGCACCAATGCCACCGGCATCATCACAAATTACGTGCTCAAGATACAAAAATGGCCTTCCTCACCAAAAATCAGAAGAAAAGAAAAAAAATAAAAAACACATTTCATAAAAAAAAAAATAAAAATAATTTTTGAAAAATAGATTTGACACATTCGTCTGAGCTGCTGGTCGGATCCTGAAATCACAGACAAGAAAGGAAGGGAAAAAATAGATGGTGGAGAGGCAGTGGGTTCGCCACATCCTCGATGTTTGCTCCAACTATATATTCTGATAGTCACCACCATGAAATGGTGGACTCTATTCGAATTGAAAATGTTCATTACATAAGAAGTGGCAGACTTTCGGATCCTCCAGCCACAAGACCCCGCCGCAAGGTGGAGGAACCAAAAGGGGGTGAGCGGAAAAACCAATACATAAATAATTTCGTCTCACCGCTATCGGCCCCTTGACTCCTTCCGTCGCGGTCCCCCGAAAGAACAAAAGTTAGAAAAAGAAACAAAAATCGCCCAGAAATGTATTTGTTTTATCACAAGATATTCATTGAGTTAACCAGCCCCCTCGCAAACACCCTTTTCACAATTTCCCAATATATATATATAGCCGTTTTCAATTAGAATCAGAAAGGAGTAAAGTTGCCCGTAACCAGAAAAACGCAGGATGCCGCTTGGCTCTATCGGGTGCTGCGCGCCAACCCCATCGGACGACACCTGCGATGGAGAGCGCGGTTTTCGCAGTGTCGTCAGCAGCAACGCAGTCCTGCACCCTCGTTTTGCGTTTTATTTTGCCGTAAGATATATTGGTCTCACGTCTCACACGGTGCCACACGACACACTCACGCGGCTTGACGGTTGCCAGGGGTGGCAACCTCAATCGGCGACTGCTGTTCTGGAAGCGCGGACTCTTCGTTGGTGTCTCCGTGGTTCTGAGGAGTGCTCTCCTCCCACGGGTACAAGAAAAACACCTGCAGAACGAAGCAGACAAGACCAATGCAGCCAAAAAAGATGAACGCGACTGCCTGACCC